CTAGTCTCAGGAACAACACAATGTACTTCTGTGTGCTGTCGGTAATGCAGACCAATCCTGGATAATTTGGGAAAGTCTTATACATTGGTATGAATAGCAGGAGGTGGGGATCATTAAGGAGCATCTTGGTAGGTAGCTTTCTTCCCAAGATTTTTATCCATAATATATGAAGAACTACTATAATTTGATAATAAAAAATAACTCAATTTAAAAGAGGCAGAAGATTTGAATAAATATTTCACTAAGCCAGATAGAGAAATGGCCAGTAAGCACATGAAAAAATGTTCAACATCATTAGTTATAAAAGAAATGCAAATTAAATTCATAGTGAGATACGACTATACTCCCATAATCAAAATGACTGACAATAAATACCAAGTGTTGGCAAGGATGTAGAGAAACTGGAACCCTCATACATTGCCAGTAAGAATGTAAAATGGCATAGCTATTTGACCATGGTTTGACCATTTCTTAAAAATTAAACATAAGAGTGCCTGGGTGGCTCAGTTGGTTAAGCATCCAACTCTTGATTTTGGCTCAGGTCATGATCTCAAGGTTCATGAGTTCAAGCCCCACATTAGGCTCTGCACTGAGAGCATGGAACCTGCTTGGGAATCTCTGCCTCCTTCTCTCTCAAAAATAAATAAATAAACTTTAAAAAAATTAAACATAAATTTACCATATGGCCTAGAAATTCCACTCCTGGGTATTTACTCAAGAGAAATGAGAATATGTATATATATGTATACACAGAGACTTGTATGGGAATGTGGAAACAATTTGCTTTCATTATACCAAAACTAGAAACAATTCAAATGCCCATCAACTGATGTATGAACAAAATGGGATATATCCATACAACAGAGTATTATTCAGCAATACAAAGAATAAACTGCTGGGGAACTGGGGAACCTGGGTGGCTCAGTCAGTTGAGCATCTGACTTTGGCTCTGGTCATGATCTTGTGGTTTGACTTCACGCCCCACTTTGGGCTCACTGCTGTCAGTGCAGAGCCCCCTTCAGATCCTCTGTCGCTCTCTCTCTGCCCCATCCATGCTTGCACTCTCTCAAAAATAAATAAAACATTTTTTAAAAAAGGAACAAATTACGATACATGCTACAACATGGATGAACCTCAAAAGTTTTATGCAAAATGAAAGCAGCCAGACTCAGAAGACCACATGTTGTATTATTTCATATGAAATTTCCAGTAAGGGCAAATCTATAGGGAGAAAAAGTACATCAATGGTTGCCTGGGGCTGGGGAAGGGAAACAGGAATCCACTGCAAATGGGAAAAGGGGAATTTGGGGTTGGGGGGTAGATGGAAATGTTCTACAACTGTATTTTGGTGATAGTTACACAACTCTATAAAATTCAAAGTTAAAATTATTGAGTTATATCTTTATAACAGGTGTACTTTTTATGTGAATTATACCTCAGAGAAGCTGTTAAAAAGATGCATACGATAAAACGATACTATGTATTTCACAAAGACATACATGTGTGTATATATAGGGAGCCATATGAAATGTATAAGAATGAGGGGGAGGGTAATGATAATAGAGATGTACAAATAGAGAAAATATTAAGGAGAGGGTTGTCACACATGAGAAAAATATGCCAAGAACCAGGAATGTGATTATCTCAACTTTGTCCTCCATGATCTGAAAGAGAAAATAATTAAAACTATCATCTTCAGGACTTCCAAAATTGCTAGTAGGATGAAGAAAATAAGACTCATATTTGTAGAATGCTTTACTGTTTACAAAGTTCTTGCACATACATTTTCTCATTTAATTCTCAAAAGAGCTCTGTGAAATAAGTATAAATATCTCTATTTCATAAATAGATTCACAGAGACTTGGAGTGGTCACCTAGCTATTGGCAAAGGAGATTTAAATCCAGTGCTTTCCCCTACCTCCCTTTCTTGGCTGATCCAATCAGATTTTTCCCCCCAGACATTTGCAATTAGACAATAGTGAGTCTCCATGATTTTATGCACTGAGGATATATAAACCTTGGAGTTGTGGAGTAGCTGTATTTTTTAACAAGTTACATGGAGAAGAGAGACAACTTGCCTTCAAAGAAAGAACGAAGCCAATTCAGTGACAGAGGCCACGTGGCCACAGAGGCACACGTTCACACCCTGGTAACCATGGAGATGTGCCACCCAGAGTGCCCAGATGTCAGCCCCAGCTGCAGAGAGGCTTCTTGCCCAAGATCATGCCCTTTCTGGGGCAGCCTGTATCAGATGACTAAGTGGGGCAAGATATAAAGTATGAGGCAGTTCTGCCTGAAGTGGGACACTCTACAGAGAGGTGCTTTCTCTGAGCTACCCATTGGGTTGACCAAGGCTTGTCATACCTGTATCACAATTTGAATGCTTCCTCTGGCCAATTTTGCATCCTCCCCTTTCTTTTCACAAGTATTGATTCCTAATAACTCCTATCAGCATTTGCTTCTGAAATGCCCAACCTGCAACACATCACAACACATACCCATACACAATAAAAGTCAGGCTTCCAGGCTTTCTGCTTCCTGCCTCTTGTGTGGACACAGCTGAACTTCTACTTCCTGGCCTTTATCTTAAGCTCTGACCAGAATGTTAATTTTCCGTTTCAGTGCTGCCACTAATAGCCATGTAATCTTGAGCAAATCATTTTATTTCTCTAGCTTTTTGTTTTTTTACCTGTCTTTTTTTTTTTTTAATTTTTATTTCTAGGAGAGAGAGAGAGACAGCGTGAGCAGGGAAGGGTCAGAGAGAGAGGGAGTGACAGACTCTGAAACAGGCTCCAGGTTCTGAGCTGGTAGTCAGCACAGAGCCTGATGCGGGGCTCGAACCCACGAACTGCAAGATCATGACCTAAGCGAAAGTCGGACGCTTAACCGACTAAGCCACCCAGGCGCCCCTAATATATGCTTTTTTCATGGCACTTCAGTCACAGCTGAGATGCTTTCCTAGAAAGCACTCCCAGGTTTCTGGCTGTTAAAATGAACTCCACTATGATTTTAGCAAAGGGCCAGTTCCCAAAGTGGTTAGGGGAGCTGCAAAGTGATGCCTGGTGCAGAGGGAGGAAACAGGAATGACCAGTGAAGAGCTGGACTGGTCCCTCTATTCCACTGAGGTGGCAAAGGGAGGAAAAGGAGTTTGAGGAGCGGGGTAGGAGTTCAGTGACAGTTCCACATAACTTCTTCCCTTTCTCTGTCCTGGTCCTGCCTCCATTGTTGTACACAAGGCCATGCTCTATACTCCAACAAGCCAAAGTTCCCTTCTTCAGGACCACTCAAGTGTCACTTTTCCTTCAAAACTACCATTCAACAATACCACTGCAATCTCTGATATTTCCACAAAAACTACAGTCCCACAGTGTTGATTGTTTAATTTAGGTAAATGGTTAGCTGAGATGCTATCTAGGAGCCTTACTGGTGTGATGATTTTTCCTCCAGTGACTATGAAAAAGACACACAGATTATAAGAAGAACAAATGTAGGGACAAAGGTTTTCAAATCTTACAAAGTCTTTATGCTTCTGGTGTCTGATCTGTAGTTCCAGTACTTTCTTTGTGTTCTTAAATGGAAATACAGGCGGTTTTATTCTCTTGAGAATCAACACTCTCCTTGCTCCCATCTCACAAATCTTGTCTTTGGCAAAAACCACATGAATTCTTTCTGTCATTTCCCCTTTCCCCAGTAAAAATACGTAATCTAGTCTGAAAATCCAGTCAGGCTTTCTTTGACTCCATAGGCATCTAGTACCTCTAAGTATCTCCAAAAGAGACTCTCTCTATATAATTCCTTTGGGAGCTTCTTTCTCACTATCCATTAAGAATATTTTACTAAACTTTCCCAATATACTTCAGTGCTCCTTCCAGCACTAGTTAATCCCTGGTGCCCCAACTAGGTTTCAAAATTATCTCCCTCCCTCCCTCTGCTTACCCATTCAAAAATTCTTATTCCCTGACCTACTTGCCAATGAGTAATGACAGCAAAATGCCCTGCACTGAGGAGGTAATACAAAGCAGCCTACAGCTGGGAAGCCATTTCTTTGAAGTCTCCTTAGCCAGCAAGAAAAATCTATCTTCTATGAAGTCTCCTTACACAATGAGAAAAACACCCCGCAGACATGATGTGATGATTTGTAATGTACTTAGTAGCGTATGTAATAATAATTTTGAAAAGTAACTGTGAGTTTTGTTTTAGGATTTTACTTTTAAATAATCTCTACACCCAATGTGGGACTTGAGTTTACAGCTCTAAGATCAAGAGTCCCATGCTCCACTGACTGTGCCAGCTGGGCACCCGTGTTTTTTTATTTTTGTGTGTATTTTTCAGATCTTCTGTTCTGGGGGATTGAACCTTTGCCCCAGTCTTTAAATAGGGAGATAGCTAGATTTAGATAGTCTTAAAGAAAATCCCGGAGGATGCTGGGATTGGGAAACTGGCTGCTGTGTGCTGTTACAGAATTGAAAGAATTAAAGTTAATTCCTTCTTTCCTATCTGAAATCTCTCAGGATACCCTGTAACAATAGCCACCACATACTGAGTTTATTTCAGTAACTACTAGCTTATTTCCATGCATGATTCCATTTAATCTTCACAATAACACTAAGATTGTAATGCAGTCGTCTCCAGAGTACAGGTGAAGAATTAAGCTTGCAGAGGCGTGGCATTCGCTGTTTCTCGTATTTTCATACAAGATTAATCCTTAATACAAATCAGGGTGGGTCTTAACCATCCCAAACTGTCCTCAACTCTCTATGGATAAGTGTGGTCTCTCACAGATGAGGCGGGCGGGGAAAGAGGGCGGGGGCTGCCTCCCCGGGGATGGGTTTGGCGAAGCCCCGCCTCCGAAGTGGGCTCACAGTGGGCGTGGCCTCACGCGGGTTCTCTCGAGGCCCTTGCCTGACTGCCGCAGAGCCGTAAAGGGCTCTAAGAGTCGTGAAGTGGAAAGGCGCGGAAGCGTTGCTTTACGACGATTCGGACGGAAGCGCCAGGCCGGCGTTTGCTGCTTGCGACTTTCGGCTCCCACACGTGGGTGACTTTCGGTGTTCCGGCTCTGAATTCATTCCTTTTGCCGTGGACAAGCCACACTGAAGGACACAGTGGCAGCAGAGGCCACGGGCCGTGAGCTGATGGAAATTGCTGTTGAAAATGAAGGGACGTCGGGAGGAGGTCTGCAGAGTGGAGCGGAGGGGGCGGGGCTAAGGCTCGAGTTTGGTAGGGAGAGAGTCGGGGGCACTGCCGGGATGGAGGCCGGCAGTGTAGAGGCGGGGAACGGATTGACAGGAATGGAGAAGACAGAGGATAGAGAAGGAGATGAACACAGGGCAGAGGAAATGCGAGTGGACCTAACTGTTGTGAAGCACGAAGTTGTGGACTGGTCAGAAATGGAAGAAGGGATGCTGGATGGCCGCTGGGTAAAGCAGGAGGTAGAGGATGGACCTACGGTGAAAGAGGAGAAACCAGGCCTTTTGGAGGTGAAGCAGGAGATGGATAGTAGTTTTGTGGTAAAAGAAGAGAAGGTGAACGAAACCGAGGTAAAGGAAGAGAAAGTGAAGGTGAAGGAAGAGGTAATGGACTGGCTAGACGTGAAGGAAGAGAAGAAAGATAACTTGGAGATAAAAGAGGAGGTGTTTGTTGGTCAGAACATAAAAAAGGAGGAAATGATGGATGAAATGTGTGTAAAAGAAGAGAAGTATTTTCCAAAAGAAGAAGTGATGGATGATGCAAAGATGAAAGAAGAGACTCAGATAAATCCCCCAGTGGGCTTCAAGCGGAAACTGGCCATGTCAAGGTAGGACAGGGAGAAATTCATTGGGGGAAATGCTATAGAGTCCTCCCGTCGTCTAGATTAAAGGAAATCTAGCAGCCAGATGTAGTGTAATGAAAAATAAATGGAAATTTTGGTCCCTGGAGTCTGCCTGTTGGTGGTGGGGGGAAGAGGGAATTGGGAAGGCAGGGTTTTGTCAGATGACAACAAGTGCAATGAAACTGCTTCAGGCTGTTAGTGTCCAGTGGACAGTGGCCAAGTTAGGAAGTGAAAATTCTGGGGACCAGAAAACCCCTGGACCAGATTCTGGTTTGACTTAATATGTTCTCGACCTAGTACTCTTAAAGAGATGATAGAGATAAGGAAAAGTCTAATAAAACTAACAGTGACAAAGCGGAGAAGTTAAAATTAGATAAAAATGTACTTGCAGTCAGTCACTCAGTTGTCTAATTTCTTTGTGGGTAGTATGAATATTTATTGCTTTTGGTTTGATTCCCTTATAGTGTGTGATCATGTGACAGCATAGGAAATAAAATCGGGAATGTTACTCTCTAGAACACAGTGGACCAAATAGAAGTGACTGTAGTTTGGTTTTTGGTATCCCAAGATCCTAGTAGAGCAGTTAAAGATAGATGATGGGTAGTAGTATTTCTAGGTTATTTTAATGCTCATTCTAGGTTGGGTGTGGAGTTGAGAAGAAAAGATACAGCTGACACTCTGAAAATTTGACTTCGTATTATATTCTTTTTCTGGTGTGTGTGCCTTTAAGTATCTAAATTCATGGTATCGACTTCTGGTTATATGCGTACATGTGCAATTGTTAGCAGATTGCCAGAAATTACAAGTTAAAACATTAACGAATGATACCATTCTCTGATTGCAGTAGAAAAAGGAGTCAAAAGTGAGATGATTTTTTTTTTTATTTAATACATGTTTTCTTGAATTACATGGTACTAGCAACATTGTAAATGTCATTTGGAGACAGTTTCCTAGAGGAGAATTTTCTAAGGATGTTTGACATCTATCAAGTCTTTTATCAGAGTCACTGGCATATACTTTATTCACTGACTACATGTCTATAAATTGGTTGTGATGAGTAATTAACTCAGCACTAAAAGTTTATAAATAAATAAGTAGAATTGATATTAAGTTTCTTGTGGGCTTTTGTAGGTGTGAAACTTGTGGTACAGAAGAAGCAAAGTACAAATGTCCACGTTGTATGCGATATTCCTGCAGGTATGTATGTAATTTCCTACCTTACTACCTCTCTCTATACTCTTCTTACCTCAAAGTATGAAAGTGCCTCCTCTCTGTCTCTTCAGTTTGCCCTGTGTAAAGAAACACAAAGCAGAACTGACATGTAATGGAGTTCGAGATAAAACAGCATATGTTTCCATACAGCAGTTTACCGAAATGAATCTCCTAAGTGGTAAGTCATCTTATGCATAGCAGATTGATGATTCCTGGCCATTGGCATACATCATTTGTTTATTTTTCTATTTTGAAATTTTTAGACTATCGATTTTTGGAAGATGTGGCAAGAACAGCAGACCACATTTCTAGAGAAGCTTTCTTAAGAAGACCAACAAGCAATAAACATGTAAGCATTTCTTTTCATCCCTTACAGTTGCAATTCCTTTTACTCAGAATCATTTTTAAACCTTATAAATGTATTAAGTGACTACCGTGACCCAGAGCTATTCCAGTTACTAGGGATACGTCAGTGACCAAAACAGAGTTCTTCCCCTCATGGAGGTTGTAGTATGTGGGAGAGACAAGAGATGAGGAGAGGAACAGCTATCATTTCAGATAAAGTACATGTGGAAGACAAAGCACAGGAGATTAAAGAAAATGAAAATGGTGCTTGTTGGGAGATTATGAGAGTATTTTCAATACAGTATTCAGGAGAAGCTTCTCAAGAGATGACATTTAAGCACTTTTTTTTTTGACAGATTATTTATTAATATGTCATTCTAAACATTACATAAATACAGCCTAGATACTAGAGTATCAAACATTGTTCCAGTAAGATGTTCAGGAGTACATTCAGGGTTCTTGAACCCTGTTCAAGAGAAACAGGCAGCCATATGGACCTTTGGAGGAAGACTGTCTGGGCAGTGACAAAAGCATAAGTAAAGACTGGCTTAGGGGTGAGATTGGTACATTTGAGGATTAAAATGGGGACAGGTGACTGAAACATAGTTGAGTGAGGAGAATATTGAATATGAGGTTAGAGAAACTGGTAAGGGCTCCTAACACGGTCTAAGTGAAATAGAAGCCATGGCAGAATTTTGAGCACGTTTGCTTTTGCAAAGAGCACTCTTGCTGCTGTCTGAAAAATGAGCATTAGTGGGCAAAAGTAGAAGCTTGAAAGCAGGGGGTCCAGTTACAAAATTATTACTGTGGTTCAGATGAGAAGTGATGGTGGCTTGCATGATATTGTTAAATTATGGGGAAATGATAGATTCTAATTTTGAAGGAAAAACTAACAGGATTTGGCTGTTGTAATGCACTTAATTTTCATACTCTTTCATCCCTTTTTCATTCCTTAAGTAGTAGGCAAAATTAAAGTTTGCATATTTGAAATATATTGCAACTACCATCCTAGAAATTCTTTAATGGGTTATTAAATCGTGTCATGGAATTATGTTCTTTTTTCAAAGGCCATTTTGGCCCTGGAGTTACATAATTTTAGTGCTTGTAAAATACTTTATTTTATTGGTATTACTGGTATAGACTTGACATTTCACATATTTGAAAGAAAAATATCATCAGCATTTTTTCTCAAGCTTAATTAAACATAATTAAAATTCTGCTTAGGAGTGCTTAGATGGCTCAGTTGGCTAAGTGTCTGACTCTTGGTTACTGCCCAGGTCATGGTCTCACCATTGGTGAGTTTGAGTCCCACGTTGGGCTCCTTGGCTGGCAGTGTTGAGCCTGCTTGGGATTCTCTCCTCTCTGTCCAATCCCTGCTTGCAGGCGCACGTGCACATATTATCTCAAAATAAGTGAACTTTAAAATAATAAAACATAAATTCTTCTTCAGAAATAAATTACTTTTTAAATTTTTTGTTTTTATTGTGGAATCTTGCATACATATAAAAAAATAATAAAATAGGAATACACTGTTTAATGAATAATAAACTCAACATCCATTAACTACGACCCAGGTCTAGAATTAGAACATTATCAACTTCTCAAAAATTCCCTGCCACTCCCTTGTGCCAATCCCTCATCCATTTCTTCGTCTGAATAGTTTTCTAGTTTAGGACCATACTGTAATTTCTGTATCCATTCTGTTGTTCATGGACTCTGGGTTTTCTGTAATAACAAAGCAAAACACCCTTAAAAACAGTACTACTATGAACACTTATTAATGAATTTTGGGTTGTGTGCACACATGTTATTTCTAGGGTTTACACCTGGAAGTGAAATTATTTTATTGTGGGGTATGCACATTTTCCAAAGTCATTATACTAGTTTAGACTCCCAGAAGTGTATGTACCTGTTGTCACATTTTCTCCAGTACTTGATATGGTCAGAGTTATAAAATTTTTGTCAATCCGATGACTATGTAATTTTATCAGGCTTTTCATTTGCAGTTCTCTGATTTCTTATGAGATTGGACATGTTTCAAATATTTTATTGGCCATTTGGATTTCCTCTTGTGGAATTCCTATTCAAGTCTCTTGCTCATCTTTTTATTGGTCAGCTTTTTTTTTTTTTACTGGTTTGTAGGAATTTCTTGTATTTCTTGGATACCTGTTGGTAGTTGATTGTATATGTTATGAATACCTTCTTCCATTCCCTGGTTTGTTTTTCACTCTCTGTAGTATCTTTGATGGATAGATGTTGTTAATTTTTTAATATAGTCAGATTTATTGTATGTTTCCTTTATTGTTAGTAGTTTTATGTGTTTATAAAGAAACTCTTTCCTACTTTGAATTTATGAGTCTATTCTTCCATAATTATTTTCTAAAAGCTTTATGTAAAGCATTGCATCTCACATTTATGTCTGTAAACTACCTGAAATTAATTTTTGTGTATCATGTGGAGATCCCATTTAATTTTCCATATGGATAATCCACTTTCTGAGCACCATTTATTGTGCTTCTCTACTGCCCTGTAGGACCACCTTTCTCATATATCAAGCATCCATATATGGTTGGGGCAGTTTCTGGCCTATCTATTCTATTCTGTTAGTTTACTTATCTGTCTAATACTACACTCTCTTAATTGCATTTTTTAAAATATTTATTTATTTTGAGAGAGACTGAGAGAAAAAGACGGAAAGAGAGAGCAGGGGAAGGGCAGAGAGAGCAGAAAAGAGAATCCCAAGGAGGCTCCTCCCTGTCAGCGCAGAGCCCGACATGGGGCTCGATCTCCCAAACCGTGAGATCATGACCTGATATGAAATCAGGAGTCAGAGGCCTAACCGTCTGAGCCACCAGGCACCCCTCTTAATTGTAGTTTTTTACTGCGACTTGTTATCTCATAGAGTAAATCCTATGACTGTTTATTTTCTAGAGTATGGCTATACTTTAGTATGGGTATGGCTGTTAGTAATTCTGTAAAAAGTGAAGAATCAGCCTGTTGATTCTACAGGCCTCTAAATTCTCCTGGGAATTTTGATAGGGGTTGCATTTATGTTATAGAGTAACTTGGGTAATTGGACTTCTTTACAGTATTAAATTTTGAAATCCTTCACTCTGTTGTATCTGCATTTACTTAATAGCTTTAATGTCTCTCTGATTTTCCCAGTAAAGATCTTACACATTTTTTGTTAGATTTATTCCTAGGCACTTTATTTTTTCTGGCTTTTTTAAATAGCGTTTTCTTTTTCTGTTTTTTCTTTTTTTAATCTCTTTGCTAGTATTTAGGAATGAGATTTTTATTATTTATTTTGTGTTATTATAATCTACATTTATAGTATTAAAATTTATTCCAGTGCCTTATCAATAGATTCTTTGAGATTTTTCAGTTATATACATTTGTGAAATTAGTACATTTATTAAACAATTTGCCACAATTTGTTTTTATCTTTCTGTCCTTATTTTTCTCTTTCTCTTGCCTTACTGCCTTATGTTAGGACTATCCTTTCAGTGTTAAGTATTAATGTTGATAGCAGATATTTATGTTTTAAGCCCCAAGTCCACACAGTATGCAGTTAATCCCTCTGTCAATGAGTTGTGATAACACATGTGAAGTAGTATCTACGAGGCAAGCTCATTAGAGATCTACTGCTCAAGGTTTTTATGGGAGCCGCTCTGCCTAGCAGATGCCAAATTCCAGACTCCTATAAGAAAAGGAAATAAAACCATATTATTTATACCGACAATTCAGGCACAGTGAGCCATACTTAATATTTTAGGAAAAGCTTTATATCAGTTTAGGGAGCCATTTATCAGTCATTCAAATTCCCAAACACTAGCCTAAAGATAACCATCTCAGCCCTGCTACGTTAACTCTTCTGTACATACTGTTTTACAACTCCTGATCATAGAGGGAAAACTTCCAAGATTGCACCGTGTTTTTTGCTCTTAGATTATGGAAATTCTAGTCCTAGTTTGTTATCAGATTTTGTCATGAATGGTATTTTATCAAATACTTTTTCTGTATTTGATTATTTCATTTGTTCTTTTAATCTATAATTTTCTAATAATATGAATAATAACATTTTAAGTGATTTTTTCTTTTAAGCTAAACTTTCATGGTATGTTGTTATCATATCAAGCTTTTTATACTTTGCAGAATTTATTTGTATTATATGTGCGTGTATACCGTACCCATGCATTCATTTTGTGTTTCTGTGCATTAGTGAGATTGACCTCTCATTGTCCATTTTGGTATTCTCAAGTTTCCATATCAGTATGATTCTAGTTTCATAAAATTATTTGGGAATGGTCCTGTTTTATTCTTAGATGCATTCACTAATTTTGTAATTACTTCTTCCTTGGGAGTTTGGTAGAATTTATTAAGGAACCAGTATTGTCTTGGAGTTTGGGCCACTGAGGTATATTCTTTACTATTTGTAGGACACTGCAGGTTTTCTGTGTCTTCTTGAGTTAGTGTTAGTAGATTACATTTTTCTAAGAATTTGTTCATTTGACGTAAATTTTCAAATTTATTTACCTAAAGTTCTTCATAAACCTCTCCTTTACATGTCTATAGGAGTTATAGTAATTTTGTTTGTAATACTGGTTTTTTTGTGTCTTTTTTCCCTAGATCAGTTGCTATTATATGTTTTTTTCTATTTTGTTAATGTGTCCTCTTAACTTTTATTGTATCTTTTTTTATGTTAGCTTAATTACATTATGATCAGAGAACATACTCTTTTAAAAGTTCATTCCTTTAAAATATATCAGGACATGGGGCACTTGGGTGGCTCAATCATTTGAGCGTCCAACTTTGGCTCAGGTCATGATCTCACAGTTTGTGAGTTCAAGCCTTGCATCAGGCTCTGAACTGACAGCACAGAACCTAGACCCTCCTTCAGATTTTGTCTCCCTCTCTCTCTGCCCCTCTCCCACTTGTATTCTATCTCTCTCCCTCTCAAAAATAAGTAGTAAAAAAATAAAATAAATAAAATATATCAGAACTTGGGGTGCCTGGGTATCTTAGTCTGTTAAGCTTCTGACTTCAGCTCAGGTCATAATCTAACAGGTTCATGGGTTCAAGCCCTGCGTCAGGCTGTCTCTCAAAAATAAATATAACATTTAAGAAATAGAATCAAATACATTAGGACTTGTGTTTATTGCCCAGCATATGGTCAAATTTTTAATGTTCTCTGCTTGAAAAGAAAAAATTCTGGGGCACCTGGGTGGCTGAGTCAGTTGAGTGTCCAACTTCTAATTTACTCTCAGATCGTAAGCCCTGGGTCGTGGAATCAAGCCTTTTTGTCAGGCTTTGAGCTGAGTGTGGAGCCTACTTGGGATTGTCTACCCGTCTCTCCTTCCTTCCTCTGCTTGCACGCATGTATGTGTGCTCGCTCATGCATGCTCTTTCTCTCCCTCTCTCTTTCAAAATAAATAAATAAACATTAAAAAAAATTCGCAATTGCTGAATATAGTACTTTAGGTCAAATTTATTAATTGTGTTCAAATTATTTATAATGTTACTTTTTTTTCTCTTTTGGTCTGTTTTTGTCTATAATTTTCAAAGAGAAGTATGTTAACATTTCCCAATAGATAAAATGAAAGAGATCTGTGAGTTTCCCTTGTGGTTCAGTTTGTTTTGCTTTGTATGCTTTAAAGCTAAATTGTTAAATGCATACCTCTTGAAATACTTCTTGGTGTATTTAACCTTTGGCATTATGAGGTGACCCTCTCTGTCTCTAGCTTTTTTTGTGCTTTGACTAACATTTACAAAGCTCTATCAATTCTTTGGTTGGGTTTTGTGTGCTCTGTTTTTTTTCCTTAAGGCCTTTCTGTGTTCTTATGTTCTGAATATAGTTGGTTTCCAGTTTTTTCTCCCATCTGACAACCTATAACTTTTAACTGAATCATTAGCATCATTTACATTTTAATAAAATTACCTGTATCTTTGACTTTAAGTGTGTCACCTTATTTTTGCTATTTGTCCTAGTTTTTTTTTCCCTTTTTTGTCTTTTGGGTTGATTTTTATTTTTTTATCATTGGAATTTTTCTCTTTATCAGTTTAGAAGTTATACACCCTTTTCCTGTCCTTTTGTTGGTTATACTATACATTGCAGTATGCATGTTTAGTTGACCGATATCTGACGTTAAGCAGTACCTGAACCTTATGCCCTGACAGTGCAAAAGACCTTAGAGCAGGAGTTGGCAGACTTTCTCTGAAGGGTCAAATAGGAAATACTTCTTCCAGGACATATGGTTTCTGTCACAACTACTCAGCTCTGCCATTGTTAGCAAGAAAGCAGTCATAAACAATACTTAAACAAATGGGTGGGGGCTACATTCCAACAAAATGTATTTATAAAGATAAGTGGCAGGCAGATATCAGTTTACCAGCAGTTAACTTAAATTCCATTTAACCCTATGCTGAGTTTTCTTACTGTTTCCAGTTCTTTAAATTGACTTTTTTAAAAAATCTCCATTCAGTAATTACTGTTCTATTCAGCCAGCGAGTGTTTATTTGGGTTTATCTTTATATTTCCCACTTTCCTTGCTCTTTAGTCCTTCTGTTATCATCTCAGACCCTACATCTGAGAGATCACTTTTTTTCTGCCCCAAGCACATCCTTTTGAATATCCTTTAGAGAGGGTTTGCTGGTTGCCATCTCTTGGGGCACTCTATAGGTTTTTGTTTGAATTTGTTTGAATTTTTATTCATTTCCCATTCTTTTTTTTTTTTTAATTTTTCTTAATGTTTGTTTATTTTGAGAGAGAGACCGAGCAGTGGTAGGGGAGGGGCAGAGAGAAAGGAAGACATAGAATCTGAAACAGGCTCCAGGCTCTGAGCTAGCTGTCAGCACAGAGCCCAACGCGGGGCTTGAACCCATGAACCTGACCATGACCTGAGCCGAAGTTGGACGCTTAACCAACTAAGCCACCCAGGCACCCCTTCATTTCCCATTTCCCATTCTTTACTCTAAAAGGATATTTCTGTATAGAATTCTGGGTTTAGAATTATTGTTCCAATGTCTTATGGCTTCCATTGTTATTGTTGCAAAGTCATCTGTTTTTAATCATCTTTGAAATCTTTTTTAATCTGGCTGTGTGTTTTTTATCTTTGCTGTTCTTTATTTGTACTATAATATGAACATGCATGTTTCTTTTTATTCAACTTATTTGAGAAATGTTAGATTTCTTGAATCTGTGTTGTGTCTTTCATTAGTTCTGGGAAATTTTCAGCCCATTTCTTATTCCTTCTCTCTTCTTCTAAAACTACCGTAAATATAAGTTAAATCTTCTCCCTACCTATCCTTTAACTTCTTACATATCCTTTAACTTATCTGATTTTTTTCTTTTTTCCCCTGTAATATATTTTGGATATGTGTAGTTTTATTTAGTTCTTATAAAAATTTGCTGAGTCAGTTTTTATAGTTTCTCTTCACTGCAAGTATTTTCAAGCTGTTTTTTTTTAATTTATTTTTTTAAATTTTGCGTAGCTGTTCTACACTCTGTGTATGATCCTTTAGTGTCTGAATACATGGGGAATTCTCAGCTTCCTCTTTTTTTCTCTTTTGGTCCCTGCTTTGTAACCTTTGTTTTCTTGTATTCTTTATGCTTCCTTATTTTTTTATTGAGTACTACTTTTTTTTTTCTTAAATTATTTGTGAGAACTTTTTTGAAGAGTAGGACACAAGCCTTCTTTTATTCTGCCAGGTACCTGGGAATATTGCAAATCTGGGCCTATCTTAAGTCAAGTTGAGAGTTTAAGATTCCCTTGACCGCACAAGCAAGGCAGATCATTTCAAATCTGAGTAAGAACTGGCCCATGACCACAGCTTCTTACGAATAGTTTTTCCTTCCCCTCCCACCCCCCCCATTCCCCCACTGTCATTCCAATGTAAATTTCCTAGCATGCTCTGGGGGTAGGGTTTATTTCTGGTTCACCCTTATCTGATTATTAATTAGGCATATTCTATGACTCAGCTTCATTTCATGAGTGGTTCCCAAAAAGGTTACAGGGTCATAACTCCTACCCTCTTACTAAGAAGGTTGTTGAAAGAAAAAGCCTGTATTTGCCAGAATTTAGAAAATTTACCAAAACTGGAAAATTTTCAGCTCATTTCTTATTACTGCTTTGCTTACCTCTCCTAGTTTTCACTTCTCGTTAAATATTGGCCTGTATTTTCTTGTTTTTTGTCAGCTCTCCAATGTTTTTAAGGTGATTTTGAAATGTATTTTATTACATATGTGTCTTTCCCCCATTCTCTGGGATTCTTAGATGTTTTAAATGGGAGAGTTGGTCCTTATAATCATTCCCATTACTGAAACCAAAGCCCTATAAGTTATAAAATTGCATGTAATTTCTTAAATTATTTCTCTCTTTATCCAATGATAGCTGACTCTTCCTTGCCCTTGGCTTATGATTTAATTCTCTGTTTGCATTGCAAAACCAAAAACTTGAATTTATACTTTGCCTTTTGAGTGATCAAGGAAGAAAATTCAATGATATTATATTTCCTTCACTACTTTCTGGAATTGCCTACTTCTGCTCAGCCAACCCAGATGGGTAGTGGAGTAACACATGTCAGAGCCAGAATATTCACATATCCCATTTTGTGTAGCCTACAGCAGTGGCTACTTTAAGTTACACCTTGTACAAGGCAATGCCATGGTTCCTCCCTTCAGTGAACTACCTGTATAGTAACAAAAACAGGCATGTATACAGCTGAGTATGGTATAAAACCTCAGTAAGGGGTGCATGGGAGCCTCAGTTGGTTAAGCATCTGACTCTTAATATCGGCTCAGGTTGTGATCTTGTGGTCATGAGATCAAGCCCTGCAACAGGCTCTGTGTTGAGCTTGGAGCCTGCTTGGGATTCTCTCTCTCTCTCTGATCCTCCCCCACTCATGCAAGTGTGCACCAGCTCTTTTTCTTAAAATAAACAAACATCAAAAGTTCAGTAAAAGAAAAGGAACTGTACAAGTAGCCCATATGAATTGCCAAATGACCTGTGTTTTTAAAAATCTCATTAAATCCTTCTTTTGGCCTACAGAGCATATGAATAGCAGGACAGCCTCCAGAATTAATCTATTCTGGGTTTTAATACAGGCTCTGACTGTATAATGTTGGCATCTCATTAACTTTGCTTCCTAGGTACTGGTCTCAAAGTATTGTGAGGATTAAATGAGATGCTAATGTTTAGCATAGTTTGTGGAAACATAGTGCTCAATAAATCTTAATTATTATATTCTGAACACTTTTGTATTCACTTTTGAAATTTAAGGCATTTTAAAATTAATTTGTCTATTATGTTTGGTCGTTAGATGTATTTTATGAAAAATCGTGCCAGACGACAAGGTATTAATTTAAAGCTTCTCCCCAATGGATTCACGAAGAGGAAAGAAAATTCAACATTTTTTGATAAGAAGTAAGTTTCTAACTTTATTCTTAGTATATTAGGTATTCTGAATAGATCAGGAACATCTTTGAAGGTTTGGTTTGGTATAGAGCATTGCTGCCCAAGGTGTAGTCTGTGAGCTTTTTGTCACTGGTCTGTGGCAAGATGGTTGTACAAATTGAAAATAAGCTTTTAAAAATTTTAACTAATTTTATGTCATGTGAATAATAAAAATTTGGGCTTATGGGGTGTGTGTGTGTGTGTGTGTGTGTGTGTGTGTGTGTGTGTGTGTGTCTGAGACCTGAGATACCATGGAAGTATTTCAGAGGTTTCAGGGGCAAAATAATGAATCAAAGCAGGACCCTGCACAGTTTTGATTCCAGCGGTTTGGCTTTTATAATCCTTTCTACTTTGGCTTTCACTTGAAAGCCAATACTGAGGTAGAGGGAGTCTTGGAAAACATTTACTCTGTAGTAAATCTGAGTATAGATGATACAATAGAGATTAGTCTGCTGCTTTCTGAGAGTGTTAGGTCTGAAAGGTCCCATTAGTACAGAGGGGAACAGAATCCCAAAATATTATAAGTAGTCCACTAAATTATTAGGTAATACTTTTCAAATGTCCATGTTCTGGATTTAGAGCAAAAAAATCCTGAATGAGTTCCTCTTTCTTCAGCCTCTTAGTAACTTAGTAACTGCAATTTAGTAACCTGAAGTTAATTTCTCCGGGCCTCATCTGCATGATATGGGGGTTGTACTAGGTATAACCCTAAGGTTCGCTTCCAGTTTTACCACTTCATAAATTGAAAAGGCAGAACCGTCAGAATTATCATTATTCTAATAAACTTTTCACCTTTTCAAAAGATATTATATTAGAAGATGATGTTCTCCATTTATTTTTTATGTTTTAAGAGAAATATTTATAAACGTGGTTTTGCTTTTTCCTGGGTAGCCTTCCAGAAATAAAGTAATGTTTTGCATTTATCAAATATGAGATGATTCCACTATGCATTTTCAAACTGACATATTTAGAAATTGACATAATTTGTTTGAAATTTAAGGTAACTGGTTTATGTCTTCTCAAATATAAACTATATTCCTGTGTTATGAAGGAAACCATTCAGAATGATTGATGAGAGCTTAGTTCTCAGCTCTAAAAAGCATGTACCCTCAAATGTAAAATTTTGGGGTCTCTAGGTACAAGAACATAGGTTAGATATTTTTTTCTCCAAAAATAAACATTCAGTATGTTTCCTGGATTTAGAATCCAAATTTATATTCAGTTATTTTGGAACACCTCAGATCTATGAAGTGGCAGAGTAGACTCTTTTTGCCTTAATGCCTTTTGCTCATGAATTTACAATGATTTGGGGTTGGTTTTTCTTATATGTTTTGGTGTTTTCCCATGAGGAGATTAGCATACTTAATAAAGCCTATTAACATACTTAGTAGGCTTTATTAATTTTTTAATATTTATTAAACATTTTTAATAATTGTCAAGTTCCCTAACATACAGTGTATACAGAATAATAGTCTTGGCTTCAGGAGTAGATTTCCGTGGTTCATCACTTACCTACAACACCCAGTGCCCATCACCCATTTTCCCTGCCTCACCGCTCATCCCCCATCAACCCTCAGTTTGTACTCTGTACTTAAGAGTCTCTTATAGTTTGCCTCTCTCTTTGTAGCTTGTTTTTCCTTTCCTTCCTCTGTGGCCTTCTGTTAAGTTTCTGAAATTCTACATGTGAGTGAAAACGTAGGGTATCGGTATTTTTCTGACCGATTCATTTCACTTAGCGTAATACCGTCCAGTTCTAGCTATGTTGTTGCAACTGGCAAGATTTCATTCTTTTTCATCGCCGAGTAGTAGTTCATTATGTGTGGAATCACATCACACCTTCTTTATTCACCAGTTGATGGACATTTGGGTTCTTTCCATAGTTTGGCTGTTGTTGATAGCACTGCTATAAACGTCAGGGTACATGTGCATCTACGAATCAGCACGCCTGTGTCCTTTGGATAAATTCCTAGTAGTGCTATTCTGGGTCGTAGGATAATTCTGTTTTTAATTTTTTGAGGACCTCCATACTGTTTTCTGGAGTCACTGCACCAGTTTGCCTTCCCCCCAACAGTGCAGGAGGGTTCCCCTTTAGATTCAACCTCTTTGCTGTTTTCACATATGTAAAATGGAGCTGATGATAGCTATTGTGTAAAGTTGTGACCATTAGTGTATTAATTTCCCTAACTGGAGTGTAGAAAGAAATGAGTGTAGGTAGCACTTGTAAAACTAATATATCCTCATCATAAAAAAAAAAAGTTTGATGGAAAAATAGCACCTATAAATTCCACTGTGTGGAGATGAGATGACCACTGATAACATTTCATGTTTCTTCTAATCATGTTTTCTTCTTTTTCCATTAATAAAATACAACATTAAGTACATTAGAGTATGCAAAATTACATGGGTCTTTTCAAGTTGAACATTACTAATATTTTTATGAATAAAAGGATACTTTTCTCTGCAGCTGCATTTGTTAATACAAACCTGCTGTATTTCTAAGTAGTATATTCCAGTTATCAGTAGTATATTTTCTTTAATTATTACCATATTTGTGAACATTTAGCTTATTTCTGGTTTTTAATGATTAGAAATAATGCCGTAATTACATTAAATAATTCCTCCGTGAAGAAATTGTTTTGTGTAGTTACATGATTTTTTCTTTGCAGTCAATCCCTAGAAGTAGAATTACTGGATCAGACTACGTGCATTTAAAATTTTGAGAGGGGCCCCTGGGGCTCAGTCAGTTAAGGGTCCAACTTTGGCTCAGGTCATGATTTCATGGATTGTGAGTTCAAGCCCCACATCAGGCACTCTGCTATGAGCACAGAGCCCACATCGGATCCTCTGTTTCCCTCTCTTTCTGCCCCTTTCCTACTTGCACATGCGTACTCTTTCTCAAAAATAAACATTAAAAAATAAAATGAAATTTTGAGAAAGACTTCAAATTACCCCTGCCCAAAACATACCACTTTGTATCTTCATCAGAAAAGTTTGAGAATGCCTATTGTAGTTATACTTGAACTTTAATTGAATACAAATTTTTCTTGCATGTCTAATTATTGGAAAGACTGAGCTCTTGAATTTTCTCTTTTAAGATGTCTCTGTTTACAGCTTATCTTATTCTGTTGCATACATAGGGAATATTTTTACCAGTCTGTTTATCCTTTAATTTGGTCTTACAGTCATTTTGATTCATTTTAAATAGTTGTAAAAAAAAAATTCTGTACAGTATAGAGGTAGGAAAATGGAGTGATTAAGAGCACAAAGTGGACCCAAGCTGCCTAGGTTCAAATTTATGATTAGCCTTCTCCTAGCTATGTGATATTAAGCTCAACCACCTAACTTTTTTTTGTCTCAGTTTTCTCATCTAAAAGTGTGACTAGTAATAATAAACTGGGACTAAACTAATTTTCATTTCCATTTGTAATATGTGAAGAATACCTGTTTAAACATCTTGCTGCCACTGAGTTATCTCTTAAAAAAATGTTGCTAATTTGATTCAAATGACGTTTTTTAAGATTTCCTTTTATTTAATTGCTACTGAGATATGAAACATTTGACTACACGTTTCAGAGTGATATCTTAAAAGTTCAAGTATAAAATTTGACTTGCTGGAAGGAGGAGATACTAAGTCTTTCAAAGAATTTATTTTCCCTTTCCATGCCCCAGTAGTCTGTTTTTAAGAGACTCATTTTCAGTACTGTTTTTCAACTTTCAAAAGTGATTAATGCTTTGACTCAAATAAAGCTAAATTTGAATATTGCTTCTGCCATTTAGTACACAGTAGGTGACCTTAGGCAAGATTGAATTTACTGGATTGAGAGGATTAAACAAAATGATAACTAAAGTAGTACCTGGCACTGCTTGTCTTACCTGAAATCCTTGGGGATATGGTAAATTTACATATTATATTCATTTCTAGGAGGTCTGAGACAGCCTTACATAAACAATACAATGTCTACTGTGAAACCTGCAAATATTTACATTACAGAGGGTAAATAATGATTGTGAACTGGCTTGGGCGGGTTTTGCTGGCAAAGGAGTTAATGGAAAAACTTTAAATTTCACCTGTTTGGGAACTTTGTTACTGGTCACATGAGATTTCGGGCCTGTATGCTAAGAGGACTTATTACAACACCTACGGAATTAAACTGCCCATTTGCTTATTTAAGCAGCTCGAGTTACAGTTTAATAAAAAACTCAAATTGAACTTGTTTAAATTTAAACATTTCAATGTTAATTTCTGAACAGAGTGAAGAATTCTTTGTGGTGTTTTTGTAACTTTTCTATGAAGTCTGAAATTATTTCAAAATACAAAGCTTAATAAAAGACATAAATAAATACCTTCATGCGAAGCGTGGCTAATGCTACATTATTGTGCCTGAGTTACCTCTGTAGAACTATCTGCAGGTTATGTAGCAAGTGTAATAGGTACCTTAGAAGTATAGGTTCATTGCACACCCAGACATCCTTTATGGTAGAAATATTTGACCAGTATTCGAGCAGTATGAATCTCCTAAATCACATATGCAGAATTGTGTGATGTGTGAATTTTTATAAGAATAAGAAATGTAATTTTCATGTTATAGTCAAAGGTGGGATATAACACTAACCTATCTGTGAGGTCAAAAATGTATTTAATAGTGATGAATTTTAGAGGACTGATGAATTTGCAGGGATGTCATAATATTAAGAATAAGTTGAGGAGCACCTGAGTGGCTCAGTTGATTAAGCTTCTGACTTGATTTTAGCTCAGGTTATGAGCTCACAATGCCATCAAGCCCTGTGTCAGGCTCTACTGACAGCATGACACCTGCTTGGGATTCTTCTTCTTCCTCCCTCTCTCCGCCCCTACCCTTACCCCATGCACATGCACATGCACTCCATCTCTCTCTCTGTCTCTCTCAAAAAAGTAAATAAACATTAAAAAAAAAATCTTAAGCTAAAGCAAGATTGATATTCGCTCTTAA